GTAAAAAATCAATAAAAATATATTTAAAAAAATAAATAAAAATAAAGATAAAAAACACACATCAGAGCCCTAGCTGAGTGGCTCATTTCGGGGGAGCGTAGTCCCTTACACCCAAAGTTTGTTGGTTCCATCCCCAGTCGGGTGCATATGGGAGGCAACTGATCAATATTTCTCTTTCTCCCCCGCACCCCCTCCCACCCCGTCTGTCTCTTTTCTTGCCCTTCTGCTCTCTAAACACATGCTCAGTGAAATTGAAAAAACAAGCAACCCACACACATTAGAGATTCCTAGGAATGATGAGATGCCAGCTCTCTGAACCTTCAATACTTCATCTATAATGGGGGCATGACATGCAAAAGTATGCTAAAATCAGAAAATTATAACGGAATTTTTACTTTGTATATCTGCACTATTTTGCTTTTTGGTATGCTATATTTTTAATCTGTCAAAAAGAAAAGCACAGAGCCAAAATGGCCTCACTCATGCTAAAAGCCCATGATACCAAACCCAGGTTTATTATTTGATCTAATTGTTTCAACCTCTCCCAAAAACAACATTAATCAACAAGTCTGGAGTTTTCTGGTAACACCAATGAGGTAATCTGTGGCATAGACTCTCACCATATCCACCCCAAAGGAAAAGGAGGCAATCTGAATAACAAACAAACAAACAAAAACCTTTGCTATTAGCTTCCTCAAAAAATACACACATAGCAAACAGATGTCCTGGTGTAAAAATAATCCTTTCTTTTCTTTCCCTAATAGCTCTCCTTGCCCTACCCCTCTTCCTATAAAAATGCTTCATTTTGTACTATCCTTAGCAGCAACCTTCTACTTGCTAGATGGGATGCTGCCCACTTATAAAAGCCAATTAGACCTTCAACTTTAGTTGGCTGAATTGTTCTTTAACAGATTAGAAATGAAAACAAAACAACAAAACTCTTTACAGATTACTGTTTACTCCACAAAAAAATGTTATGTTTACTCTTTCCCAAAATGTTAACAATTATCATATCCATGTTAATCATAAGTCACCAAGCTCACACGTACCTTTAATCTTGACATACTGCATATCCGGATTAACACAGAGGGCAAGGTTACTAGGCAGAGTCCAGGGAGTAGTTGTCCAAGCAACCAAAGATATATTTTCGTCTTCCTCCAAAGGAAAGGTAACAAATATTGAAGGATCTTGAACGTCCTCAAATAAAATGAGACAAAGTATTTTTTTAAAAAAATCCATAATAACAAACATTGAAGAAAAAGAAAATAATCCTAAAGAATAAGAGAAAGATTTTCAGAATAAATTGAGCTTTTAAAAAACCATTTGCCACATTTATAAAAAAATATAAATCAAGAAATTCCAAATATATTTTTTAGTATACTTTAAAAGTTTTAACAATTACACATTGCATAATGACATTATGATCAATGGACTGAAGATATGGTGGTGATCTCTTAAGATGACAATGGAGCTGAAAAATTGCTATAGACTAGGCCAGTGATGGTGAACCTTTTGAGCTCGGCGTGTCAGCATTTTGAAAAACCCTAACTTAACTCTGGTGCCGTGTCACTTATAGAAATTTTTTGATATTTGCAACCATAGTAAAAAAAAGATGTATACTTTTGATATTTATTTTATATATTTAAATGCCATTTAACAAAGAAAAATCAACCAAAAAAATGAGTTCTCGTGTCATCTCTGACACGCCTGTCATAGGTTCGCCATCACTGGACTAGGCTAATGATGCCATACGTTCCCTAAGGTCATAAGGCAATGTATTACACAAGTACTTATGTTAGGGGCAGAAATAGAATATTGGGGACTAGCTCTGGTTATGGGAAATATTAATCATGCTCTGTTAACCATGATTGCCTTGTGTTGGTTAAAGAAAGGACTTTCTGACCTGGCTGGGAGTTGTATGCTCCCAGGCCCTGGGAGTCAACCTTGGAACCATTCTCATTCAAGAACTGCCTATCATCATGGAAAGATTAACTGCCTTGCTGTCCAAACAATGGAGTCCCACCCCAGCCTCCTACTTTCCCAGGCCTATAATCCCTACTTCTCCATGTAATCCTTGTCCTACCCTATATAAGCAGCTGGTTTATGGGGGGGGGGGGGGGGGGCGTGCGGGTCCTGCAGAACAGATTTTTGTGGTTGCCCTGCTACTCTCCCATACTGCTGGAAGTATTGGAATAAAGGCTCATATATGATTCAACCCTGTCTCTGCTTAATTGGCTCAAGGAGTGACAGGCAGCATGGGCCCACTGATTGTCTGGTTACGCTTAGTAGCATTGCCTTACAATTGTCTACAATGTTCAGTATAGTAACATGCTGTGTATACAGCAGCCGTGGGCAAATTACGGCCCGTGGGCCGGATCCGGCCCGTTTGAAATGAATAAAACTAAAAAAAAAAAAAAAAAAGACCGTACCCTTTTATGTAATGATGTTTACTTTGAATTTATATTAGTTCACACAAACACTCCATCCATGCTTTTGTTCCGGCCCTCTGGTCCAGTTTAAGAACCCATTGTGGCCCTCGAGTCAAAAAGTTTGCCCACCCCTGGTATACAGCATGTAGCCTAGGAATTGTAGGGAAAGAGAATTTGTCGATTAACACAGGAAACAGCAGATATGGGAGAAGCTCTGAAAACTAAGAAGTTAGCTTTTTGTAAAAGACATTTATATTTGTAAGAGGAATCTCCACTTGTAAGGGTGTCAGGAAGAGGAAGAACTTATCATTAGAAACTTTTATCAATGCAGGAAACTATGTAAATCTACTTAGCAACCTTACTTTTGTTTGCTGTGATTTTCCTGATAACCTCCCACAACTGACTCCCCGCCCCCACCCCCAACATCTCTGGCCTTCAGCTGAATTTTGGCAAGTTACTCAGTTTTCCAAGGTATATCTACCATGTATATAGAAGGTATACATGCTATTTAAATCTTTTTTTCTCCTGTTAATCTTTTATTACAGGGTATTTGAGCCAAGAACCCAGGAGGGTAGAGGGAAATTATTTTCCTACCCCTAAAGAACAATAAGCTATACCATGTAGTCTAGGTATGTAATAGGTTGTACCATCTAGATTTGTGTACATGTACTCTGATGTTCTTGCAAGGACAAATGTACTGAACAGATCCTTAAGCAGAGCATGACTGTATCACAGATAAAACATTTTAAGTGTATCAATATGGATATATAATGAAGGTTTCACTATTACAATGATCTATTTCATAATAAGTTCATAAAGTGGTACACCTGAAGCATAGTGGTCCCTCCTTTGGAAAAACTGCTGTTTGAACTACTCTGTTATTCTTAGTCTCTTATTCTGTAGGTCAACTCTGTTATTTTTAGATTGTAAAATAACTTTGTTTTTAGCTTGAATAATAGAAAAGATAAATTTAACTGACCTTGCAAGCTAGCCATGTAAAGGGGCTGATACATGCCCTAACTGGTTTGGCTCAGTGGATAGAGCATCGGCCAGTGGACTGAAAGGTCCCAGGTTCAATTCCGATCAAGGGCATGTACCTTGGTTGCGAGCACATCCCCAGTAGGAGGTGTGCAAGAGGCAGCTGATCAATGTTTCTAGCTATCTGTCCCTCTCCCTTCCTCTTTGTAAAAAATCAATAAAATATATATTTTAAAGGGGCTGATACACTGATCTCTAATAATAAAAGAGAAACATGCAAATTAGCCATCCCTCCCTACGCTTAAGCCACGCCCACCAGCCGATCAGAGTGATATGCAAATTAACCTGACAAAGATGGCGGACCTGTGGGCAGCACGCATGTGCACAGGCACCGAGCTGCTGGGGGCAGGCGTCCCACACCGCTCCGCCCCAGCTCATCCAGGCCGGTGGGCAGCACGCACAGGGGTAGAGTGGCCGGGGGGTTGGGAGGGGCAGGATGCCTGGCTTCCGCCCAGCCCTGGCCGCTCCAGGCTGGTGCGCAGCATGTGGAGGCAAGGAGTGGTCGTGGTGGGGCAGGACACCTGGCTTCCACCCAGCCCCGGTCACTCCGGGCAGGTGAGCAGTGCTCGCTGGTGTACTGCCCCGCCCAGGCCGCTCTGGGCCTGTGGGCAGCATGCTGAGAGCCTCTGGGCAGGGGAGACAGGCCGGCGGAGGGCGGCCTGTACTCGCCACATGGCTGCGGTGGCAGCCGTGAGCGCGCCAAGCAGAGCCTGAGGGTCGAGCTGAAATAGCGCCTACAGGACATCAGCACCGAGTGGCTGAACAAGTCCCACCTCCTGGCCCAGAAGGTGTGCAATTGCAGGGACAACCACCGTGGCGGGCCAGATTGACATCCTCCTGGCCCCGCCACGGGGGTTTGCGGATCCGCGAAGCCACAGGCCTCCGGTGTGCACATCCTCTCCTCCCCTCCTGGCATGCGAACATCCCCCAGCACACTGTCACCCACGTGCACTTGCAACAGTTGCAGACCAAGGCACGCACAAGTTCCCCCCGCCCCTCTGCCGCACTTCCACCAAACCCAGCATGCCTAAGTCCCCCACAGGAAGTGCACACATCCCCTCCAACATGCTCACGTCCTTTGGAGAGAGTCTGGGTGTTCTGGGTGCTCGGGGAGGGCGCCTGTGAGATGACAGTGAGAGGGCAGAGTGGTGACGCCCTGTTCCTGCAGAGGCCAGTGCAGCGACAAGATCACCTCTGGGGGGTTAATGCAGGTGGCTGAGGCGGGAGCAGATGCAGACAGACACACCTGGTGGGCGCAGGCGGCCCTAGCTGAGGTGCCTTCAGTCAGGGTTCAAGATTAAGAGCCCAGAGGCGGCGAGGAGTTCCGTCCTCTCAGTGAAACAGTGGGATAGTTGGGGCGACTGCAGAGGAGGAACATGCACTTTGGGTGCCGGCGCCCATGAGCAAAGGCTGCCCTGACTGAGCCTTGCTTGCTTGGGGCCTAGCGCACTCCTGCCGGGCAGCGGGTGACAGGACGTGCTTTTCTGAGTTAATGAGAGAAAACATTGATTCTCCCGCTGCCCGCGAAGGTGGAAAGTGAAGTGGGGAGACATGCGGGGAGTGAGCGAGGTTCCCTGTCTGGGGGTTCCAAATCTGCATTGCTTCCTTTCACTGCTGAGTAGAGATATACAGGGTGTCCCCCAAAATGTATACACACTTTGAATACCTACTAATTCCAATGGGTTTAAGCATGAGAAGAAAGAAACAACAATGGAGCTGTAATCTGTTAAAAGTGCGGGCACAAACCGGCAATCGGACATTCCCCGAGGGGTCCCGGATTGGAGAGGGTGCAGGCCAGACTTGAGGGGTCCCTTCCCCCCCCCCTCCCCAGTGCAAGAATTTCGTGCACCAGGCTACTAGTATTGATAATATTCTCATATTCTCATGCCAAGTGTTTGTTCATCCAAGGTTACAGGTGTCTATATAGATATGTACTCAAGATTACAAAACTGTCTGTATAGATATGACAGGTGTTTGTTAGATATGATATATACTCAAAGTTACAAATTGTCTGTAAAAATAATTTACACAAGGACCTAAAAGAATATAAAAAGAAAATGCTTCCTCCTTTGAGTGTTCAGAATTTGACAGAGGTAGCAATCTGCTCTGAACCTGCACGCAATAAAGATGACTCCTAACTAATTGGCTCATTAGGCGTCTTGTCCAGCTAGCTGATTTGCGATACAACACACCAACAAAATAACTGTTTAAGAAAAGTTATTCTTTATTAAAAAATCTACGTACGAGTCATTCTGAAACACCATATACATGAAGAACTTATAACACACCAAAAAAAATTTTTTTTAATATATATTATTGATTTTTTACAGAGAGGAAGGGAGAGGGAGAGTTAGAAACATCGATGAGAGAGAAATATTGATCAGCTGCCTCCTGCACACCCCCCACTGGGTATGTGCCCGCAACCAAGGTACATGCCCTTGACCGGAATCGAACCTGGAACCCTTGATTCCGCATGCAGACGCTCTATTCACTGAGCCAAACAGGCTAGGGCATAACACACCAAAATTTTAACAGAGTGAAATACTTGGTCTCTCTGACTCCATCTTGTTTAAGCCTGATTTGTTCCCAGGGCCTTACAGCTTCTGCTTAGTTTTGCAAATAGAAATGCTAATCATTGGAAAATTCTGCTCTGGGCTCCCAAGGAGATAAAGGAAGTATGTACAAAAATGATTATCAAAGATTTGAATGGACTCACATAAATTAGAGTCA